GAAGACAGCCAGGAGGACAGGGCAGGCCCCACTCCACGTGACAAAGGCTGTGACCCCCAAATTCCTTCCCCCAGGCTGTGTGACTCCACAATGAACTGCCACGGAGCACCCTGCAAGCAGGACACGCCACCAGCCAGGCCCATCAGGGCACACCACACACGCTTCTACAGGGCTCCCACAATGCGCTGCTGCCCCACGTAAAACGCTGAGTGACAGGAAGTGAAGGCAGTCTCAGAGTGGACTGAGCAACGCCTTTACTTAAAGCCTCATCTCACCCACGACTCTGGGAGTGCACACATTCACACAGCTCCTCCCATGTTTCCTTTGCCCTGCAACCAAAAGGGACCCCTTGGACAGTGTGCCCCCCAGCCACGCTGAGCCCCAGGGGAGTCACAGGGGAGTGCCGCTCTCCCCAGGATCCCACAAGGGAAGAAATCAAAGCACACCTGGGTGAGAGATGCTTTGGACACTCACTGACTCCTTTTCATCTTCAAAGCAAATGACAGGCACTAATTAGCCTCCACACCACCCTCTGAGCTAAGAGGTTTGCTATTTCCTCCAGATGGGCTATGTGGAGCAAGGGCTTCACCTCTGCCTCAGGTCACAGGAGAGCCAGAGTCACAGCGCTGCCAAAGCGCGTCCCGGGGCAAAGCCCACATCAGGAGCCTCCCTCTGTGCCAGCCCCAGGCCAGGAACAGTGCTGAGAACAGCTCAAGTCCAGGCCCTGTGTTTCTGAGCCTCCCACCCACCTCCATGGGCAGCCAAGTCAGGGGACACTTGTACTTGGCCCCTGAAGCCTTTTTTTTTTTTTTTTAAGAATAACCTGTAAGCAAAACACAGAGTCTCTTTGGTGCCTTTCCATAGAGCGGCCCCACACAGCAGGTGCCAGTGGGGCAGCAGGTGCTGGTGCTCTCTGGCCTTCCCAGGTTGAACGTTGCTGTTTGCAACTGTTTTACCTTTAAGGACACTTTTGCTTTGTCCAAGAGAACAATTCTTGAGGCTGGTGCTATAGTGAAGTCTGTTTCTTTTAGTGCAGCCTCTACCTGCGGGGCAGGCATCCCATATGAGTGCTGGTTCTTGCCCCAGCTACTCCACTTCCAATCCAGCTCCCCGCTAAAGGCCTGGGAAGGCAGTGGAAGATGGCCCAAGTGCTTGGGCCCCTGCACCCATGTGGGAGACCTGGAAGAAGCTCCTGGCTTTGAATCTGCCCAGCTCTGTCTGTTGCAGCCATTTAGAGAGTAAACCAGAAGACCTCTCTCTGTCTCTCCCTCTGTTAACTCTGCCTCTCGAATAAATAAATAAATCTTTTTAAAAATAACAATTCTTTTTAAAAATCATTGTGAAGGAGATGTGGGACCCTAACAGCTGGTAAAGAGAACAGCACTCTCCTGCCACCACCCACACCGGCCACACCTGCATGTGTACAACCCGTCCCCAGCAATGAAAGCTCCCATCTACTCCCCAGCAGGAACCCACTTCACCCAGCTGTCAATCTTCAAACCTGAGTGGCGAAAACTAAGGCAGCTCAGCTATCCACAAGCAAGCAGAGACACAACACACGTGAAGCCACTTTCGACTTTTAATGTAGTTTTTTCTTCCTTGAACATCCTCAACTTCCATTAATCCAAATACTTAAATGGAACTGAGCCAAAGGCTGTTTTAAAAGTTGGAATAAGGGGGCCCCAGAGCCCTCCCAGTGCGATGAAGCCACTAGACACTTGCTTCCCTCCCACGGGAGGTAAGGATCGGCACCACCACAGGACTACGCTTCAAGGGAAATAAAAATCAAATCCTAGTTTCGACTGTACTTGTTACGAGTTCACCTGTTTCGCTTAACCCACACTAATGAACAGGTGGATAAAAACGAAGCCAAGTGCATCAAAGGAAACAGATGAAATCCCGAAGCACCAGACACCTGCAGGTTTCATCATGCAGAGCAGGACACCCAGCCCTCTGCCTTCAGGTCTGACGAGCCCATGGCGAAACCACTCCACCCGCCCTGCACCCAACACCACTTCCTCCCACCACGGCACCCTGGATCAGGCCAAACAGACCCTGCAGAAACCACAGAAAGCAAGAGCTGCCTGACCCCAGAGAGACAGAACTGCAGAAGGTTCTGGAGAGCAGTGCCTGGCACTGCGAGCACAGGAGGCCCCACCAGGGCTGCTGCCCCACGGCAGTTTTCTACGTTCACTTCCCAGGATCTCAGCGCTGCGTCAGGCAATTGCTCACTCTCGCTCAGGGCAAAGCTCTCTCATGGTTCTGAGGCCCTGCTGCCAAGCTGCCCCAGTGCTCATCCTGACAGCAGGGAGAGCCACGTCGTCTTCACCCTCCCCCAGCCCAGCCCAGCCCAGCCACGGCTCAGCCTGAGAGCTTTGGGAACACCTTTTAGGACCTCAGGAGGAAGGTAAAAGACAGAACTTGTGCTATTTGGAGGTGTACATATAAAAAGCACTTCCCTACTCCTTGCTAAAAGGAGTCCAGCCACTCCCACAGCTGGCGGCAGAACAGGAGTGAGTCTGACTGTCCTCTGGGCACACCTCTGCCTACCACGTACCTCCCACTCTGGAAGGAGAAACAGAAAATGTGGGAACATTCTAGAAATTAGCAACAAGACGATAAAAAAAAAAAAAGCAGCTGTGGGCAAAGCACTTGCAGAATTAGACACAGAGCGGCAACCAGAACCTTCGACCCGGACACCAGACTGCTGGCCAAGAAGCACCACCCAGACCTTGGGCGATCTGAAAACAGCAGGCCAGCTGGGCATGAGCCCGCACAGGTCTCAGCTGCCTACAAGCCCCTGCACAGTCACAATGGGCTGCGGCCCCAGGAAGCCCCACCATGAACACAGCACGGGGAGGAGAGGCCAGGAAGCAGCTGATGCAGGAGACCCCTGGAGCTGAGCAAGGACGCAGATCCCTGCCTGGGTGGAGGGTGGAGGTCACTGCACACTGAATCAAGGAAGGGCAAAGTGCTTGCCCTGCACAGCGCCCCACAGCCCGGGTGGGTTAAACTCCCTGCCCTGCACGCAGGGCCACTGTGAAGCAACAGGCTCCAACTACGTCCTGCCAGACCTTCCACTTGTTCTCCTGACCTGAGACTTTTGCTCAGACTCGTGCCAAAAAATTAAGAATCCACTTACACCCAAAGCTGCTCATTAACCATCTCCACCCACAATTACCCAGAACACAGAACCCCAAGGATCCATGACCAAGGGCACCATCTGTGCCCTGCACCTCCTCCCTCCACGCCCAGCTCCCTTCAAGGCCAACCACAGCCTGCACTGACCTGCACTGAGGCAGCAAAACTCTCCCGAGGCTGCATCCCCACTGAGAGCTGGGAAGAGAGCACTCGAAGGCACGGACTGCACCCATGGTGTAAGCCCAAGATGCCTGGCGCATGCAGGCACCACTTACCACCACTATGACGGGCGTGCACCATGTATTTAAAACGAGACTTCAGAGACATGGAAAGAGACTTAAAACAGTTAAATTTTCCTAAGAACTATTGTTACATACCTAAGACAATTAAAAACCTACCTTTAAACAAAAATTTGTATATGAAAGTTCAAGCAACACGGCTCACAACAGCCAAGAGCAGAGTGGGACGCTGTGGGCCATCAGACAGCACAGCGACAGGAGCCAGACACAGGCTCCGTGCACAGGAAACGTCCACAACATCAGGGCCGGAGGCAGACAGTGGGGCAGCGGCTGCTGAGTGGGCACAGGGCTTCTCTGAGGGGTGATGACAACATTCCAAGTTGGTGCACAGACTCACGTTAACAGGTGAAGTCTACCTCTTTTAGAAACTGGCACAGCACGACACGTCGATGTGGGCAATGTCACCTGGGCACAGCGTGAGATTTAGGGACTGCTTAGCTTTCTCAGTCTGTTTCTTACAGGCTTGGAAAGAACCTCAGCCTCTGACAACTTCCGGAAGGCAGCAACAGCGCAACCACAGCTGCTTCTCAGTTCCCACTGGGGGACGGTGAGGGGGCTGCAGAGGGCAGGGTGCCCTCCCAGCGCCCCTGCAGCCTGTCCCCACCCAGGGCCATCACACCCCTGCCCCGCTCTTCCTGGCCCTGACCCTCCCACGAAGAAGGCAAAGAAGACACCTGAGACGGCATCACACTCGGCCACCTGCTCGCCTAGCCAGCTCAGAGACAAGGACAAGAACTGACCACAGCAAAATTCCGCCCACAGCAATTCTGGAGAACCGCGGAAGGCACTGTCCCTGGCCACCCAAGGGCCACAGCAGGCTTCTTGCTGCCCCAGCAAGTGTGTGGTCTCCACCACCAGGCCTCACCTCTTCTGCAAATCTTAGACCCAGTCTGTCCCCCTCGTGAGTGCTGGAAAAGGCAACAGGACAAATAGGCGGAGCAGGAGTTTGGGGGCACCGCTAGCAACCAGGAGCAGGTGCAGGTCTGCACTGAAACGCAGACATTAGAATCACCAAGCCCGCGGAGCTGAACAGAACTGCGTCTCAAGTCACCTGCCTTACCTTACTGGGCCTGGGGCCAGTAACTGCGCTTCACAAAATGAAGGAGAAAACACATGGAGAAACTGCTCCTGGGGCACCACTGCCCCCTGGTGGCGACACACGGAGACTCCACTGTTCACCAGTTTTAGTGCAGAAGACCCAGCACCAGCCCTCCATTACTACAGTAGAGCCCAAGGAGGAGGGAAAACCGTTCCCAAGCCTGTCAGGGTCACCAGCGCCCACTATGCACCAGTCACTCCCCACGTCTGGGTCACCAACTCCCACTACACCGTCACTCCCCACGTCAGGGCCACCAACTCCCACTACACCCCAGTCACTCCCCACGTCTGGGTCACCAACTCCCACTATGCACCTGTCACTCCCCACGTCTGGGTCACCAACTCCCACTACACCCCAGTCACTTCCAGCATCAGGGTCACCAACTCCCACTACGCTCCAAAAACTTCCCATGGACTTGCTGCTTCCACAGCCCCGTAAGCTGACCCTGGGGTAGTGTTTACCAGGGCCTGCAGCATCCCGTCCACGGCGATGACTCCATCAATGGTGTGGAAAGAGGCGCCGGCCAGGGTACGCAGGCTCCAGTCCAGAAAACTGGCCATCTTCTTCTGCTTGACATCAGGGCGCGTGATGAACCTGCCAGAGGAAAGCAGCACGCAGGGTAAGACCCACCAAGCCCCCAAGAGTAAGGATGTACCTGCATCTCAGAGGACCCCCACGCACAAGCCCCCAAGAGTAAGGATGTACCGCATCTCAGAGGACCCCCACGCACAAGCCCCCAAGAGTAAGGATGTACTGCATCTCAGAGGACCCCCACACGCACAAGCCCCCAAGAGTAAGGGATGAACCGCATCTCAGAGGACCCCCACGCACAAGCCCCCAAGAGTAAGGATGTACCCGCATCTCAGAGGACCCCACGCACAGCCCCCAAGAGTAAGGATTACCGCATCTCAGAGGACCCCCACGCACAAGCCCCCAAGAGTAAGGATGTACCGCATCTCAGAGGACCCCCACGCACAAGCCCCCAAGAGTAAGGATGTACCGCATCTCAGAGGACCCCCACGCACAAGCCCTCACACGACCCCACGCTGCAGGCCACTCTGTCCAATCATCCTCTGCCAGTCACTGCCCAGGCCACAGCCCCTGACAGCTGGCCTTCACCATCATCTCTAATGCCCCCACTCCTCCAACCTGTCCCCATTCCCACCCAGGAGCCCCTGGCTACTTCTCAGACCCCTCTCCTCCACAACTCAAGTCTACATCCCATGGACCCTTGAGGCAGGTTCCAGCCCTGCCAGCCTCAGGGACTCGTCTCTCCCACATACCCCACCCCTCAACCTTGTGCACACTGCCCTGTTTCCTCTGCTGGACCTCCCACACTGGACCTCAGCCACACACACATACACCCGCCCCTCCTGTGCCCCTCAACTGGCACATGCACAGAGCCCCTCCCCTTCACTCCCCTCACACACACAGAGCCCCTCCCCTTCACTCCCCTCACACACACAGATCCCCTCCCCCACCCCCCCCACACAGCCTCTCCCCCACCCCTCACACACAGAGCCCCTCCCCCTCCCTCCATACAGAGCCCCTCCCCCTCCCCTCACACAAAGCCTCTCCCCCTCCCCTCACACACACAGATCCCTTCCTCTCCCCTCACAGAGCCCAAGCCCCTCCCCTCACACACACAGATCCCCTCCCTCTCCCCTCACACACAGAGCCCCTCCTCCCTCCCTCTACATCCCTCCCCCTACACAGATCCCCTCCCTCTCCCTCTCCCCTCACACACAGAGCCCCTCCTCCCTCCCCCTACATCCCTCCCCCTACACAGATCCCCTCCCTCTCCCCTCACACACAGATCCCCTTCCTCTCCCCTCACAGAGCCCTTCCCCCTCCCCCCTACAGATCCCCTCCCTCTCCCTCTCCCCTCACACACAGAGCCCCCCACCACCACTCACACACAGATCCCCTCCCTCTCCCCCTCTATTCACACAGCCCCCTCCCCCTCCACTCCCCTCACACACGGAGAGCCCCCACACACTTTTCAACTGCTCCTCAAAAGAAAGACCCTGCCCGCCCTGGCCGCCATCCCCAGGAACTCACAAGGGGAACCACCTGGGCTCCGTTCCACACGCCGTGGCAGAATCGTGCCGGACCCCACACCCACATGCCCAGGCCCTCAGGGCTGACAGGAGAGCGAGCTGTGCAGAGTCCATCATCAACCCTAGGGAAGCGTGAGGTCTCTTTCTCAGTTCTAACATCAATCCTGTTCCCGTGGATCAGGGTGCACACCTGGAGACCCCCACCAGGTCAGACTTTAGGGTGCTTATTGGACCTGTGAGAGGACCCAGGGATGGCACCTGAAATCTATCACTACCATATTCATTTTGGCTTGCTTGACGTGATGTCTGGAGCTGGTTCTGTCCCAGCTGCTCCTCTTCCAGTCCAGCTCTCTGCTGTGGCCCGGGAAGGCAGCAGAGGATGGCCCAAGTGCTTGGGCCCTGCACCTGCAAGGGAGACCAGGAGGAAGCGCCTGGCTCCTGGCTTTGGATCGGCGCAGCACGCCGGCCATAGAGGCCATTTGGGGGAGGTGAACCAATGGAAGAAGACCTTTCTCTCTGTCTCTCTCACTGTCTAACTCTGCCTGTCAAAAAAAAAAAAAAAAAGATTTAAGCAGGGCCAGACCTGTGGCACAGAGGGTAAAGCTGCCACCTGCAGGGCCAGCATCCCTTATGGGCGTGAGTCCAGTCCCAGCTGCTCCACTTCCACTCAGCTTCCTGCTAACGGCCCGGGAAAGCAGCAGAACATCTCTGCCTTGCATGTTTGAGACCCTGTACCCACGTGAGAAACCCAAATGCAGCTCCGGGCTCCTGACTCCTGGCTTCAGCCTGGCTCGCCCTGGCCGTTGTGGGTATCTGGAGAGTAGACCAGCAGATGGAAGATCTCTATCTGTCCACTCCCTGTAACTCTTTCAAATAAGTAAATAAATCTTTTTTTTTTTTTTTAAGATTTATTTATTTATTTGAAAGTCAGAGTTACATAGAGAGAGAGAGAGATGTACTCCATCTGCTGGTTCACTCTCCAATTGGTTGAAATGGCTAGAGCTGTGCAGATCCAAGGCCAGGAGCCAGGAGCTTCTTCCAGGCCTTCCACACAGGTGCAGGGGCCCAAGCACTTGGGCCATCTTCTAAAGCTTTCCCAGGCCATAGCAGAGAGCTGGGTCAGAAGAGGAGCAGGGGCCGGCGCTGTGGCACAGAGGGTTAACGCCATGGCCTGAGGCGCTGGCATCCCATATGGGTGCAGGTTCAAGTCTCAGCTGCTCCACTTCCAATCCAGCTCTCTGCATGGGCTGGAAAAGCAGTAGAAGATGGCCTAAGTCTTTGGGCCCCTGCACCCACGTGGGAGACCTGGAAGAAGCTCCTGGCTCCTGGCTCCTGGCTCCTGGCTCCTGGCTCCTGGCTCCTGGCTCCTGGCTTCGGATCAGCCCAGCTCCAGCCATTACGGCCAATTGGGGAGTGAACCATCAGATGAAAGACCCCTCCCTCCCTCTCTCCCTCCCTCCCTCCCTCTCTCTCTCCACCTCTCCTCTCTCTGAAACTCTGACTTTCAAATAAATAAATAAATCTTTAAAAAATAAAAAAAAAGGCCGGCGCCACGGCTCACTAGGCTAATCCTCCGCCTAGCGGCGCCGGCACACCGGGTTCTAGTCCCGGTTGGGGCGCCGGATTCTGTCCCGGTTGCCCCTCTTCCAGGCCAGCTCTCTGCTGTGGCCAGGGAGTACAGTGGAGGATGGCCCAAGTGCTTGGGCCCTGCACCCCATGGGAGACCAGGATAAGTACCTGGCTCCTGCCATCGGATCAGCGCGGTGGGCCGGCCGCAGCGCACCAGCCACGGTGGCCATTAGAGGGTGAACCAATGGCAAAGGAAGACCTTTCTCTCTGTCTCTCTCTCTCACTGTCCACTCTGCCTGTCAAAAAAAAAGAAAGAAAGAAAAGAAAAGAAAAGAAAAGAAAAGAAAAGAAAAGAAAAGAAAAGAAAAGAAAAGAAAAGAAAAGAAAAGAAAAGAAAAGAATTGGTTTATTAATAGAAAGTAAGTTTATGACCAGATGCTTAGTGAAAGATAAGCCTAAGAATCACCCAGCACATAATAAACAACAGTCGATGATAAGCAGACCTCTGTCTCTCCCTCTCACTGTCCACTCTGCTGTCAAAAATAAATAAATAAATAAAATAAAAAATAAAAGAAGTGGAGCAGCCAGGACTCGAATCGGCGCCCATATGAGATGCCAGCACTGCAGGAGGCGGCTTTACCCCGATACACGCGTGTCTTTACACAAGCAGGATCAACCTACACGTACTCTGCAAACATTTTTTCATCCTACCTTCCTTTGTTTTTAGCAGAAATCACATCACAGACTGTGCCTACATTAAACACTGGCCTACTGCCCTTCTCGGGAAGGTGAGCCCATGAGAACAGCTGTGACAGCGACCCACAAACGCTGGGCCATGGGACCGGACCTGCCTCAGGACCCCAACCAGTCCATTATCACAACCCAGGCTCAGACCACTCAGCAAGCTGCAGCACAGGGGAGCTGAGAATGGTGGGTGGAATATCCACAGAAGGTGCCGTGGGATGGCAGAACCTGTTGCATGCCCCATACCTAAAGAAACTCCAAGTGGGCAGTAATTCTGCCTTAGAACAACATGAGGCCAACAGCTGTGAGCAACCGTTGGTATGTGTTTTTAAGATTTATTTATTTGAAAGGCAGAGTTGCACAGAGACCTTCTATCTGCTGGTTCAAACCCCAAATGGCCACAAATCCAGGAGCTAGGAGCTTCATCCAGGTCTCCCATGTGGATGCAGGAGCCCAAGGTGTATTAGCAGGGAGCTGAATTGAAAGTGGAGCAGCGCCTTTTTTTTTTTTTTTTTTTTTTGGCCCTTTTCCCTTTGCTCTGGACCCACTTGCTGCCCCTGTGCTTTTGGGGCACGACTGCCACGTGCTTCCTGGCCTGCATGCTCCTCCACGTGGTGACTCCCAATGCCTGGTATGAACCCGGATTTCTCCCTCTTTTAGACGGGCCCTCACTCTCCTCTGTATTCTTCACTGAAGGAAGGATGGAAGGGGAGGGGAGGGGAGGGAAGAAGGGAAAGGAAAGGAAGGAAGGATGGAAGGGAGGGAAGGAGGGAGGGAGAAAGGAAGAGAGGAATAGAGAGAGAGAGAGAGAAAGGAAGAGAGGAATAGAGAGAGAGAGAGAGAGAGAGAGAAAGGAAGAGAAGGGAGGGAGGGAGGAAGAGGAGCAGCCATGCCCCTATGGGATGCCACCTTGCATGTGGTGGCTCACCACGCTGCACCCCAGCACAGCCCTGACTGCCTGTCTGCAGTCTCCTCCTAAGGGAAGACTCCACAACCAGAAGTAAAAGCTGGGGCAGGGCTGTGGCACAACAGGTTGAGCTACCACCTGGGATGCACACATCCCACACCGGAGTGTTTGGTTTGAGTCCCAGCTACCCTGTGCTTCCAATCCCGCTTCCAGCTGATGCGCCTGACAAAACAAAACAACACAAAAAATGATGGCTCAGTACTTGGGCCCCTGCCACTCACATGGGAGACCCAGGCTCCTGGCTTCAGCCTGGCCTAGGCCTGGCTGTTACTGCCACTTGGGGAGTGAATCAGTAGATGAAGATTTGTCATTTTTCTCTCTCACTCTGCTTTTCAAATAAACACTTTTTAAAGTAAAAATTAAGGAGCCAGTGCTGTGGAATAACAAGTTAAGCCACCACCTGCAGTGCCAGCATCCTATATGGACACCAGTTCGATTCCCGCCACTCCATTTCCCGTCCAGCTCCTTGCTAACGTACCTGGGAAAGCAGTGGTGACAACCCAAGTCCTTGGGCCGCTACACCCACATGGGAAACCCAGATGAAACTCCTGGTTCCTGGCTTTGGTCTGTCCCAGCACCAGCCATTGTGGCAATTTGGGGAGTAAACAAGCAGATGGAAGATATATATCTCTCTCTCTCTCTCTCTAACTCTGCCTTTCAAATAAAATAAATACTTTTTTAAATAAAGTAAAAAATAAATAAATGAAAAATAACTAGCTTGACATTAAAGTTAAAATCTTTGTATAAAAAATAAAGTAACAGACCAGCCTGCCTGGCAACGCTGCCCACCACGATCCTTCCCAGAGAACTCGTGCCAACGGGGAAGAAAAAGAGGTCGTGAGAGTCAGTCACAGAAGGGGATGCACATGCCCAAACCAGAGAAAGTGCTGAAACTCCAGGTCACTGAGTCACCACCCTCTGACACCTGCAATGGGCAGGAACATGCTCTTTCAATCCAGCTCCTGAGCGCCACCTCGTGGTTCGGTGACCCTAGAGTCACTTCCAAGGGCGTCTCAGCAAAGAATCCAGACACCAAAAAGTGTGTCCACAGCTAGGCACCACAGCACTGCCCAGAGGAAGCAGCAGCTGGCGCAGAGTCGTCAGGGGCTGTGACAGCAAAGTGGAGGAGGACTCTGCCTCGGCAAGCTCAAGCCACACATATTCCATTTAGTAACAGTACAGAGAAACAACAGAAATACACACACCCACTGGGTATTAGAAATTACTTCTCTACATGGAGCACACCCTGTTTTTGTTGTTTGTTTGTTTCACTTGAAAAGCAAAAAGAGGGAAACAGACAAACAAGTAGATAGAGTTCCCATCTGCTAGTTCTCACCTCAAACGGCTGCACAGGCAGGAGCCGGGAGGCAGAAACTCAGTGCGGGTCTCCCATGTGGGTGGCAGGAACCCAATTACTCGAGGCATCACCTGCGGTCTCCCAGGGTCTACATTAGCAGAAAACTAGGGTCAGGTGCCTCGATTTGAACCCAGGTTCTCAGATGTGGGACACAGGCATCATAACCAGCGTCTTAACTATTAACAGCTAGGCCAAACCTCAGTCCCCTCACTTTTATAATAGAAAAAATAGCCACGTTTTAAACTAAAGTAATGGGGCAGGCAGGTGGTGGGTCAGAGCTGAGGCGGCACTGCAGACAAATGCCAGCCCACAGGCAGCTGTGGCGGAGTGGGCTGAGGCTCCCCTATAGCACCAGCATCCCAAAGGGGTGCCGGTTCGAGTCCCGGCTGCTCCACTTCTGACACAGCTCCCTGAGGATGGCCTGGGAAAGCAGTAGAAGATGGCCCAAGTCCTTGGGCCCCTGCACCCAGGTGAGAGACCCAGAAGAAGCTCCTGGCTCCTGGCTTCAGATTGGCACAGATGCAGCCATTGCTGCCATTTGGGGAGTGAACCATGGATGGAAGATCTCTGTCTCTGCCTCTCTGTAACTCTGCCTCTCAAATAAATAAATAAATCTTACCAAAAAAAAAAAAAATCCCAGCCTATAACCCACCCTTTGATCCCCACCAAAAAGATGCCTGAGAAACACAGCAAATCAGAACCAGGCTGGGGACTCCCAAGACTTCCTCAATCCAATTCCAGCATCTGTCCACTCCCCACGGTGGAGAGACGGACGGGAAATGGTTGCCCGCACCACACTGTACCACAGCCGGCACGGTATGCCAGGTGCTGTAGACCCTCAGTAGTCGACCCTGGTGTCTCAAGCTGTCCCACCCCAGCCCACCTGGTGTACAACGCTCTGGAGTCAAACCTAGCGTAAACCCGCCAGGCAGTAGGACTACTGGTAATAAAGCAGCACATAATACAAGCACACACTTAACACTGCTGGCAAGCACTTCCAGCAACTGCGCCCAAACCCCTCAAGTGCTCATGCTGCTCGAAGGAATTCACGCCTAGAAGTCGTCAGAAGGGCACAAATCTAAGTGGAAAAACTCGGAGGGCAATGGTCTAAGTGCCCAACCAGAGAGTGCAAGAAAACAATACATTCACACCAAGGATCCAGATTGTGAAAGACAAGGGAGCTTCTCCTGGCCAGTGTGTGGCTCCATAGGGAGCAGAAACCAGAGGAAACACGCCCATAGACATAAGCAGTGACACCCCGAGCATGAAGGCACACATGGGTTCCACTTTGCAATTCATATTTTCTTAAACATGGTTATTACTGTTGTTAATTAGAAAGAAACATCATCTTTTTTAAGTTCTTGATAAGAGAAGGTAGCCGGGGCCAGCACTGTAGCTTAACAGGTTAGGTTATGAACGGTTCGAATCTCAGCTGCTCCATTTCCAACTGAGCTCCCTGCTAATGCATCTGCAGTAACAGAAGATGGCCCAAGTACGTGGGCCCTGCACCCACATGGGAGACCTGGGTGAAACGCCTGGCTCCTGGCTTTGGCATGGGTGTTGCAGCCATTTAGAGAGTGAACCAGCAGATGGAAGATCTCTCTCCCTCTTTCTCTGTAACTCTGACTTTCAAAATTAATAAATAAATCTCTTTTTTTAAGATGTATTTATTTGAAAGGCAGAGATACAGATAGAGAAGGAAACAGACAGACAGACAGGCAGAGATCTTCCATCCACTGGTTCATTGCCCACATGGCCAACCAGGGCTGGGCCAGGCCGAAGCCAGGAGCTTCCTCCAGGTCTCCCACATGGGTGCAGGGGCCCAAGCACTGGAGCCATCTTCTGCTGGTTTTCCAGACCACTAGCAAGAAGCTGAACCAGAAGAGGAGCAGGCAGGACTCAAACTGGCACCCACACGGGATGCCAGCCACTACACCACATCAGCCCCTCTCTGGTCATCTTGCCCAGCACATCTGAGCAGGCCACTGTCCCATGTGCAGCACAGTATTTGTAGTTAACAAAGAAGGTTTGAGATTTTCATCCAAGGCACGTAGACACAGTGAGTGCCCACAACCTCCACAGACCACGGTGTGAGCTGTTTCTAAGTGACTCTCCAAGGTTCGTAACTACCACCACCCAGAGATGGACACTGTGCCCAGAACCCACTGCTGCACTGCTCTGACGATGCTCCGGCCTCTGGGCCAGTCAGGTGACCGCACACATTCCCAAGACCAGTGCCAGGTCACCTTCTATAGCCCCTCCAGCCAGTGCCAGGTGACCCCTCAAGCTCCTATAACCATTACCAGGTGACTCCCAAGAGCCCACAGACCAGCACCGAGGTGGCACTCCCTCTAGGTGCCTTCTGTGCCAACCAGAGCCATGAGCTCCCCTCAAGGAAGCAACAGGGTCTGAGGTGGCCAAAGACTCCCTGGGGCCTTGCCTGAGGATCACAGACACACACACAACATGAACCCATGCAACAGAAACCAGACCCACCAGTCACGAAACCACCAGCCATGCTATGGGCAGGCAGGACTTACTTGGACACAAGGACGGCAGCTGCATCTCGGGCCTTGTCACTCACCACCAAGTAGGACTGGAAGAAAGAAAAAGGGCAGCCACTGTCACACATGAGTGTCAGCCATAGGGACCTGCACAGCAGCCAGGCTGCACACTGGCAAAGTTACAGGCAGACAGCACCACAGGCGCACAACCACTCTTCACTGAACCATCGCCCATGGCTGCCAGCTGTGACACTCACCCCAGGTAAGTGCCTGATCTACACATGTGTGGTTGTACCCACTGAAACACACCTGCAAGAACAGAGCAGGAAAATGAACACGTGTGTTACACACTTGTCATGGAGAATCATGGGGTACCTGCTGTACGGAACCACCCATCCACGTCTCAGGACAAGCAGAGGCCACTGCAACTGAGGACCCCGGCTTGCTGCAAGTGCCTCTGTGCCTCTGGGAGCCAGCTGCTTGAGGGGCCCCAGTCTCATCGACTGTTCTCCCCGAAGCAGAGGCTGTGCTCGGCAATCGCGTCCACAGTGCTAACCTCAGGGCTCAGCGCCCTCCACCCGGCAGAGCCCAGGTGCGCATCACCACACTCTAACATATAACCAGAAACGCACAAATGCCCCCAAAAGCAGAATACGTTTAAAATTAGAACAGAGTGAGCAGGGGCCGGCGCTGTGGCACAGCGGGTTAATGCCCTGGCCTGAAGCACTGGTATCCCATATGGGCACCGGTTTGAGTCCTGGCTGCTCCACTTCCAATCCAGCTCTCTGCTATGGCCTGGGAAAGCAGAAAATGCCCAAGTCCTTGGGCCCCGGCACCCACATGGGAGACCTGGAAGAAGCTCCTGGCTCCTGGCTTCGGATCGGCCCAGCTCCGGCCATTGCAGCCAATTGGGGAGTGAACCATCGGATGGAAGACCTCTCTCTGGGGCCAGCGCAATGGCGCACTAGGTTAATCCTCTGCCTGCGGTGCCGGCATCCCATATGGGCACCAGGTTCTAGTCCCAGTTGCTCCTCTTCCAGTCCAGCTCTCTGCTGTGGCCTGGGAAGGCCGTGGAGGATGGCCCAAGTGCTTGGGCCCCTGCACCCGCATGGGAGACCAGGAGGAGGCACCTGGCTCCTGGCTTCAGGTCGGCATAGCTCTGGCGGTTGTGGCCATTTGGGGAGTGAACCAACAGAAGGAAGACCTTTCTGTCTCGCTCTCTCACTGTCTGTAACTCTGTCAAATGAATTAAAAAGAAAAAAAGACATCTCTCTTTCTCTCTCTCTCTTGTGTAACTGACATTCAAATAAATAAATCTAAAAAAAAAAAAAAAAAAGAAAGAAAGAAAAGAAAAAGAACAGAGTGAGCACCTCTGCCCTGAAGAACTGCATGGGGTCACCAGTCAGAGAATGTGACCGGCAGTCCAGGGCGCCCCATGAAGCCGCCAGGGTTCACAGGAGCAGAGCTGGCTGTCAAGTTACTAATTCCGTGTGCTGCCTGAGTTACATAGGGGTAGTGACAGTCACTGCCTCATGACTAAGATTAGAGAGCAGGTACACGAGAATTGCTTACACACTGCATGCCAAAGCCAGGACTCGAACTGGCACCATATGGGATGCTAGCCACTGCCATGGGCAAAGGACCAGCACTATGGCGTAGTGAACTAAGCCTCCACCTGTGGCGCCGGCATCCCATATGGGCACCGGTTCTAGTCCTAGCTGCTCTTCTGATCCAGCTCTCTGCTGTGGCCTGGGAAAGCAGAGCAGTGGAAGCACCACCTATACCCATGTGGGAGACCCGGAAGAAGCTCCTGGCTCCTGGCTTCACACTGGCCCAGCTCCAGCCACTGCAGCCATCTGGGAGTGAACCAGAAGAAGGAAGACTCCTCTCTCTGTCTCTCCCTCTGTCTGTAACTCTGCCTCACAAATAAAATCTTTAAAAGAAAAAAAAAAAAAAGTGAACACCACGCAATCACAGCCAGAGGGGCAGCTGACACTTGAAGGACCAAACACCCTGGCCTCCCGGTGTTCACAAGCGTGCAAAGGGTCCCGTGTGGGATCTACATCTGGGAGAGCTGGACACCCTGCTGTCCAGTGTTCACACCCATGCTACCTCCCTGTGGGAACTGCACATGGGGACCTGCATCTGACTAGAGTCCAGCCCAGAGCTGGGGTTCCACCTCCGTGTCTCGGCTGCAAGTTACCAGGATTTCCATGTCACTAGCAACTCTGTTTTTCTGGTTTATTAGAAAAGCTGCAATATTGGAGGGGCCCATGTGGCAAATAACTGAATTGCTCCCCACCACACAGTCAATTAGAAAGTGGGCCCTCATGCCAACCACACACACACACACACACACACACACAAACTGATGGCCCCGGGGAGCCCAGGCTGAACCTACTGGATGCCTGGAGGCAGAAGGGCTCAGCTAAGTTAGGCTGACCGCCTGGCCCACAGACGCAGTGAGACTGCAAACACGTGCTACGCGAAACAATTCACATTTAGGTAATTCTTTACAAAGTGGTAAACTACAAATACTACAAGCTCTGCTCAGTGACATACAGAGCAGGGGAAGTTTGAAGAAAATATGCAAGCAGAACTGTGGCAGATTTCAATTCAGTATCTCCCCCATTTCCCTTTATTTCCCAGTTTTCCTGCAATGATCATTATTATTTATAAATGTAAACCATCTCCCTACATCCTCCTACCACTACCCAGGAAACCTCACAAGCATCACCCCCAGTGCACTATTTACAAAGAAATAGGATTTGCTGAAGAGATTTATCACAATTTCAAAGTAAATCACGGAGTGGGATTTTACCTCCCTGAAAGACAGTAATAGCAGTTAAAGAAATCCTTAAATGTCAAGAGCTCCCCCAACTAACCCCTAACACGGAGACAGCCCGAGGTGACAAACACAGCAGTGGCTGGCCACCTGCCGGCCGCACTCACCTCTGCAATGTGGAGAATGCGGTCCATGATGGGTACTCGCGCTGGCTCCGTCTGGGAAAGGAGGTTCCCATCAAGACGTGAGAGATCAAAGGGGATCAGGCAGGTCACAGAGAGCCACAGTAAGAGCATGTAGCGCGTCTCCCAGGTCTAGGAAGAAAAGTCACAGTCAGAAGACAAAGGTAGAGGCCGGTGCTGTGTGTAGTGGGTGGAGCACCTGCAGTGCCGGCATTCCACATGAGTGCCGGTTCGAGTCCCGGCTGCTCCACTTCCGATCCAGCTCTCTGCTATGGCGTGGGAAAGCAATGGAAGATGGCCCAAGACCTTGGGCCCCTGTACCTGCATCGGAGACCTGGAGGAGGCTCCTGGCTTCAGGTCAGCCCAGCTCCGACTGTTGAGGACATCTGTAGAATGAACCAGCGGATGGAAGACCTCGCTCTCTCTCTGCCTCTCCTTCTCTCTCTCTCTCTCTCTGTAACTCTGACTTTCAGATAAATAAATAAGTCATAAAAAAAAAAAAAAAAAAAAGACGACAAAGGTAGGGGCTGGCACCGTGGCATAGTGGGTAAAACCGCCACCCGCATTGCCCGCATCCCATATGGGCACCGACTCAAGTCCCAGCTGTTCCACTTCCGATCCAGCTCCCTGCTAAGGCACCTGGGAAAGCAGTGGAAGATGACCCAAGTACCTGGGTCCCTGCAACCACATGGGAGACCTGGAAAAAGCTCCTGGCTCCTGGCTTCAGGTCAAAACAGCTCTGGCAGTTGCAGCCATCTAGGGGAGTGAACCAGCAGGTAGAAGACCTCTCTCTCTCTGCCTCTGCCTCTCTGTAACTCTGCCTTTCAAATAAATAAATAAATCTTTAAAAAAAAAAAAAAAGACATACATTATAAGAAAAACTAATATAATTTTTTTTTTGACAGGCAGAGTGGACAGTGAGAGACAGAGAGACAGAGAGAAAGGTCTTCCTTTGCTGTTGGTTCACCCTCCAATGGCCGCCGCGACTGGCGCACCACACCGATCCGATGGCAGGAGCCAGGTGCTTCTTCTGGTCTCCCATTGGGTGCAGGGCCCAAGTACTTGGGCCATCCTCTACTGCACTCCCTGGCCACAGCAGAGAGCTGGCCTGGAAGAGGGGCAACCGGGACAGAATCCAGCACCCCAACCAGGACTAGAACCCGGTGTGCCAGCGCCGCAAGGCAGAAGATTAGCCTAGTGAGCCGCAGCACCGGCCGAAAAACTAATATATTTTTTTAAAAGGTGAACAAACACCTTAATACATCAGTATAATGACTTTCCTTCCCTGGCACCTTTCAACAGGAAATAAAGATTTTCTAAAAGCAGGGCTGGCATTGTGATATTTGTTAAGCAACCACTCACAAAGCCGACATCCAACACAGAGGTGCCCATTCAAGTGCTTGTTACTCTGATCCAGCTCCCTGCCAATGTGCATGGGAAAACAGATTAGTACTTAGGGCCCTGCTCCCCATTTGGGAGGCCCAGATGGAGTTTCAGGCTCTTGGCTTCAGCCTTGCCCAGCTCCAGCTGTTGCAGCCATTTGGGGAATGAATCAATGAATCAGCAGGTGGAAGATCTTTCTCTCTCTCTCTGCCTTTCAAATAAATAAATAAATCTTTTTTTTATTTTTTTAAAGAGTCATTGTATTTATTTGAAAGACAGAGTTACAGAGAGAGGTAGAGACAGAAAGAGGTCTTCCATCCACTGGTTCACTCCCCAGATGGCTGCAGTGGCCAGAGCTGTGCCGATCCAAAGCCAGGAGCCAGGAGCCAGGAGCCCAAGGACTTGGGCCATCTTCTACCACTTTCCCAGACCATAGCAGAGAGGAGCAGCTGGGACTAGAACCAGCACCCATATGGGATGCCGGCGCTTCAGGCCAGGGCTTTAACCCACTGCACCACATTGCCAGCCCCAATAAATCTTTTGAAAAAAATATTTAAAAATATAAAAATCCTTAGGGTCAGTGTTGTAGCTTAGCAGATTAGGTGCCACCTGTGAAGCTGGCAGCCTATATGAGCACCAGTTTGAGTCCCAGCTGCTACACTTCCAATCCAGCTCCCTGCTAATGCACCTAGAAAACCAGAAGAAGATGGCCCAAGCGCCTGGGCCCCTGCCACCCACTGGGGGAGACCCAGATGGAGTTCCAGGCTCCTGGCTTCAGCCTGGCCCAGCGCTGCTAGTCCAGCTGTTGCAGCAATTTGGGAAGTGAACCAGCAGATGGAAGATCTCTATCTCTCTGTCTCTCCCCTTCTCTAACTCTGCCTTTTAAATAAACAAATCTTAAAAAAATAATAATAATTCTCAACTTCTAGTATAAAAGAAATGCCTTTTATTTCCAGTAGTTAATGGAGCAAGAGTCTAGTTTGGCCCCCAGAATGCCAGGGGAGACAGCATCGAGCCGGGAACACCAGGAAACACTCCCCTGAGGCCTCCACTCCCACCAGCCACACTCACTCGGAGGCAGCCCCACAGCCCAGCCACAAAGTGCGGCTCTTCTCAGCATGGACCCTGCAGGAAGGAGCGCAGAGGCGCTATCCCCAGAAAGGCCAGGTTTCAGCTGGGTGCCCACCACTCCCCAACCAGCAGGGGTGACTCACCGGGCCTGCACTCAGGCCAAGGGTTTACTCTGAGCACTGCTTTCCTTCTGCAGTCAGCGTGGTGCCTATATGACCAGTGCCCCTAAACACTCTGGGTACGGGTCTGAATGTGCTTCCGTGGCAGACACTCCTCACTGCTGGAGGAGTTACTTGTACCCTGTGTGACCCACACACAAGGAGCTCTGGGAGCTCCCAGCTGGTTCTCTGCAGACTCCACACCATGTATCCTTCCCCAGTGATTCCATGCCAAGTCCTGTGAGTCCTCCCGACCTGGAAGAGGCCTTGGGACCCTAACACAGTCCCACTTCAAGTTACAAATATGGATCGGGCAGCCAATTAACAATAGCTGTTAAGGTGTCAGGTCACCCATGTCCCACATCAAAGTGTCTGGATTCAATTCCTGGCTCTGGCTCCTGACTCCAACTGGTACAAACCTTGGAAGGCGCAGTGATGGTTCAAGTAATTGGGCTCCTGCCACCCACATGCAAGAGGCGGAGTGAGCTTCTAGCTCCTAGCTTTAGCCTCCTACATTGTAGGCATTTGGGGACTGGACCAGAGATAAGAACTCTCTGTAACTTCTCTGTCTCTCAAATAAATAAAAATTTATGGGAGGGTATTGCGGCACAGCAGGTTAAATCACATCCTATTCAGAGTGCCAATTCAAGTCCAGGCTACTGGGCTTCTGACCCAGCTTCCTGCCAATGCACATCTTGGGATGCAGCAGATGATGGCTGTGCTGCCTGGATCCCTGCCATCCATGTGGAAAACCGAGATGGAGTTCCAGGCTCCAGATTCCAGCCGGGCCCAGCACTGGCTGTTGCAGGCATTTGGGGAATGAACTGGCAGATGGAAGATCTCTCTGTGTGCGTGTGTGTGTCCATGTGCGTGTGTGTGTGCGTGTGTGTGTGTGTGATCATACCTTCTGAGTTAATGAAAAATTAACATGATAAGAACAAACAGGAGAATGAGACTGCGAGAGCAGGCAGGGGCAGAGATGCAGTGAGGGAAGAGAAGCGGGCAAGGCTGGGTGGGGAGAGGGCTCTCACCTCGTGGTCTTTAGGGTCCTGATGGGTGATCATGTCCAGAACAGGCTCTACATTAGCTACCTCATGAGGAAATAAACGAAGAAATATTTTATATCCTCGAACCTGCCAGAAAAAAAGAGTTTTTATCATAATCAGAAAATACAGAGTAGCATAATTACCTCTTTCCTCTCATTAGAAATTCCCATCTATGTCACCCAATGCCATCCAATCAAATGGAATTATGTCACACTACAGGGACACAAGTTAGTAAGAATAAAGTAACAAAAAAGACACTTTGTTCTCAAATCACTTCATTCATTAAATATGTCCTATCCCAATCTGAATAGCCAAGCTTAAACGTAGCTTATCAGAAACGTAGACCTGTTACAAACGGTAACATTTTGCTTCCACTATGTTTACACAACTGTCCTCTGAGATTTGTAAGGAATGAGTCCTCAAAAACCTCAAAGATCCCCAACTTCATTAATACTTCAAGATGCAGTGGCACCACACCCAGGGGCACCCGGCACACGGCCGAGCTGCGGAGAAATGCACTCAGCACACACTGCAGAGTGAGTCCCTGAGAACCTCAACCCCCACCCAGAGACGGCTGAGTCACTCTATGGTGGAAACCGCCAACAGTAAGTCTGTGGGCCAGCACGGGGCCATCACCTCGGACCTGCTAAAAGCAACATCACGCCCCACCCAGACCTCCCTCAGAATCTGCAGTATAACAAATTTCCAGAAAATTCACCTGTAAAAGATTTTTTAAAGATTTATTTAAAAGTCAGAGTTACACACAGAGAGAGAGAGAGAGAGAGAGAGAGAGAGAGAGAGAGAGGTCTTCCATCCACTGGTTCACTCCCCTAGTGGCTGCAATGGCTGGAGCTGCACCGATCCAAAGCCAGGAGCCAGGAGCTTCTTCCGGGTCTCCCACACGGGTACAGGGGCCCAAGGACTTGGGCCATCTTCTACTGCTTTCCCAGGCCATAGCAGAGAGCTGGATGGGAAGCGGAGCAGCCAGGACTCGAACAGGTGCCCACATGGGATGCTGGCACGGCAGGTGGAGCCAGTGTTGTCACACAGCAGATTAAGCAGTCGCCTGTGACAACTGGTATCCCTTAGGTGCTGGTTTGTGTCCCAGCTGCTCCACTTCCAAACAGCTCTCTGCTAATGGCCTGGAAAAGCAGCAGAAGATGGCCCTGTACCATGTGGAAAACCCAGATGGAGTCCAAGCCCCTGGCTTTGCTCTGGCCCACCCCAGGATGTTGCAGCCATTTGGGAAGCGAAGCAACGGATAGAAGATCTATCTGCCTGTGTCTTTCCCTCTCCGTAACTCTGCCTTTCAAACCAATGGTCTGAAAAAAAATAACAAATTCAACGTGTTAAACATCTAGGACACTATTTCAGCCAAAGCTCTGATCCCCAACACCTGGTAAAAGGAGAGAATGAAACCACAACTCCCGCTGGCATCACCTTCCCTGAGAACAACTCCTCGCAGGATTACTACCAGACCAAGGACAGACAGACCTGACCTGTGATGGGTCACCCGACAATTTTCAACTTTTCAGTGGTGTAGGGGCATGCAGAAGAAACTGGCCAATCCTCTAGTTTTTTCCCAGAGAAGCCATACACAAACCAATCCTCTCTTGCAATGCTGGGCAGCGGCACAACCACAGATCCACCTCAGGCACACAAACCCAACACTCTGCAGGATATTGTGTGGCTGTGCTATGAGGCTGGTAGGCAGGACCCTGAAATGCTACGACGTTTGGTAGGCCAGGAGTATGAAATGCCATGGGGCCGGCCCTGTGGCGTAGCAGGTTAAGCCACCACCAGAAGCACCAGCATCCCAAATGGACATCAGTTCAAGTCCAGGCTGCTCTACTTCCAATCCAGCACCTGCTAATGCACCTGGGAAAGCAGTGAAAGACCAAGTGCCTGGGCCTCTCCACACACATGGGAGACCTGGAAGAAGCTCCTGGCTTCAGCCTGGCCCTGCCCCAGCCTTTGCAGCCATTTGGGGAGTGAACCAGCGGATGGAAGGCCTCTCTCTAACTCTACTTTTCAAATACAAAAAATAAATCTTAAATAAAAAGTAATGCTATGAATTTGGTACAGTAGTATAAATGCTATGACATTTGGAGTATGAAATGCTGTCATGTTTGGTAGGCATTTTCTGTTCAAGAATATTTTCAACATAGGATTGTTTGTTGAGCCACAACCCCCTCATATGTCGAGAGGTCCCTGTTTATTACCAAAGTGACAACTTCACAGGGCCAGCGCTGTGGCACAGAGGGTTAGGTTAAGCCATCCCCTGCGAAGCCAGAATCACATATGAGCGCTGGTTCAAGTCCTGGCTGCTCCCTTCTAATCCAGCTCCCTGCTAATGTGCCTGGCAAAGCAGCAGAAGATGGCCCAGATACCTGGGCCCCTGCACCCACGTGGGAACCCCAGAGAGAGCTGCAGGTTCCTGGCTTTGGTCTGACCCAGCCCTGGCTGTTACAGCATTTGGGGAGTGAACCAACAGATGGAAGATTTTTCTGTCTCTCCCTTTCTTTATATAACTCTGCCTTTCAAATAAATAAATAAATCTTTTCAAATAAAGTTAAAAAAAAGTGACAACTCAAAAGCACTACATAAATGTTACCTTGGTGATGATGTAAAGAAATTTAAAAGCCAGGTGTACCAGGGCAGCTGGAGATGTCTTATCTTGCACCATGTCCAACAGCAAGTTCATCATCCATTCTAGGGAAGCACAATAACATTTACTGTTAAATGTATCGGTGTGATGTTAAAACAACGTATCAAAACAGGTGTGGGCATTTGGCAGAGCAGTTAGGACACCACTGGGACACCGGTATTGGGTGTCAACATGCCTGGGTTCAGGTCGGCTCTGCTTCCAATCCAGCTTCCTACTAATGCACCCTGGGAGGCGGCAGATAATGGCTTGAGCACTTGGGTACCTGCCACCCACAGAGGGGGCTGCAGGCACCCAGATCTGCCCTGTTCCAGCCCCAGCTGCTGGGGGTATCTGTGGAGTGAACCAGGGAGTGGAAGATCTGTCTCTCCTCCCTCTCTATGCCTTTCAAATAAAAAATGAAAATAAATAAGTGTTTATATATCAAAATAAAAAGGGTTTATTTAGAAATGGAAGAATGGGAGGGGCCGGGTTAACGCCCTGGCCTGAAGCACCGGCATCCCATATGGGCGACGGTTCTAGTCCCAGCTGCTCCACTTCCAATCCAGCTCTCTGCTATGACCTAGGAAAGCAGTAGAAGATGGCCCAAGTCCTTGGGCCCCTGCACCGTGTGGGAGACCTGGAAGAGGCTCCTGGCTCCTGGCTTCGGATCAGTGCAGCTCCGGCCGTTGCGGCCATCTGGGGAGTGACCCATTGGACGGAAGACCTCTCTCTCTCTCTGCCTCTTCTCTCTCTGTGTAACTGACTTTCAAATAAATAAAATAAATCTTTAAAAAAAAAAAAAAAGAAATGAGGCCGGCGCCGCGGCTCACTAGGCTAATCCTCCGCCTAGCGGCGCCGGCACACCGGGTTCTAGTCCCGGTCGGGGCGCCGGATTCTGTCCCGGTTGCCCCTCTTCCAGGCCAGCTCTCTGTTGTGGCCAGGGAGTGCAGTGGAGGATGGCCCAGGTGCTTGGGCCCTACACCCCATGGGAGACCAGGAAAAGCACCTGGCTCCTGGCTCCTGCCATCGGATCAGCGCGGTGCGCCGGCCGCAGCGCGCCGGCCGCGGCGGCCATTGGAGGGTGAACCAACGGTAAAAGGAAGACCTTTCTCTCTGTCTCTCTCTCTCACTGTCCACTCTGCCTGTCAAAAAAAAAAAAAGAAAGAAAGAAAAAGAAATGGAAGAATTGGGGCAATCCTGTGGCACAGTAGGGACATCAGCAACTAGTCAGAACACATAACAAAGACAGTTTCACAGATCAATAAACAACATTCGTGGGGGCTGGAACCGTGGCAAAGTAGACTAAGCATCCACCTGCAGCACTGGCGTCCCATATGGGTACCAGTTTGCGTCCCAGCTGCTCTCCAATCCAGCTCTGTTTATGGCCTGGAAAAGCAGCAGAGGATGGCCCAAGTGCTTGGGCCCCTGCACCCGCATGGAAGATCCAGAAGAAGCTCCAGGATCTGGCTTCAGCCTGGCCCAGCCTTGGCCATTGTGGCCATTTGGGGAGTGAACCAGCAGATGGAAGATCTTTTGTCTTTGTCTCTGTCTCTCTCCTCCTTCTTTTCCTCATCTCTGTAACTCTGCCTTTCAAATAAATAAAAAATAAATCTCTAAAATTTATTTTTAAATAAAATATAAAAAGAAGCAAGGGTTGGGGCCAGCATTATACACAGCAGGTTAAGCCACACTTGCTACTCCCATATCCCATATCAGAGTGCCTGAGTTCAAGATCCAGTTACCCACTTCCAATCCAGCTTTCTGCTAATATGCCTGGGAAGGCAGAAGATAAGGGCCCAAGTGCGGGGGTCCCTACCACCCACACGGAAGACCTTGATGAAATTCCTCGTCCTGGCGTCAGCCTGGCCCAGCCCTGGCAGTTACAGGAATCTGGGAAGTGAAATAGCTTGCTTGCTGTCTCTCTTGCTCTGTCTGCCCCCTTTCCCTCTCTGTTGTTCTGCCTTTCAAATAAATAAATTTTTTAAGAATCACTACCCTTACACTAAGGTAAGAAACAAGTCTCAGCATCTTCTCTACAGCAGACATGACCACAGATGCCTCCTCAGCTGCTGGCAGGATTGAACGGTGACCACGTGACCCTGTGTGACCTGCCAGCAATAGCAGGTGACCAGACACAAACAGGTTAAAACTTGGGTAGGAGAACCAAAAGATGTGTTCTTTATTTCTTCAAGATTTATCTTACTTATTTGAAAGGCACTGGCACTACATCCCGCCACCCTCTGCAGCCACACACACGCGGCAGCACACAAGGTCTCACGGCCACCTGTCATTCATTCGGTCATCAGGACCATCAGCTCCCATGCTCACCAAGGTGTGGGTCCAACAGGTGAGGCTGCTCCTGGTATTTGTTCATTATTACTAAAAAGAAAAAGAACACAGAAGTCAATCACCACTAAGCCAGACGCGCACAGGGACCTCAGGAGCCACCCTGCTCGTCCTTGCTAAACGCAGGCAGCGGCCAAGAGCACACCCACAGAGGCCCCCCAGAGTGTGCACCCCCACTGCCCTCTGGCCCCCTGCTCCACACACCTTTCCTGGGGTCCTCTCCTCCCACGGCCTCCTGAGTCTTCCTCCCCAGCAGGGTCTCTCCCTTGTTCCTTCCTTCCCTCCCACTCCCGCTCAGGCACACACCCTCTCTCTTCCCTCAAAGCCCTGCAAAGTCTGACCCACAGCCCCCAGCTGCGGTGCTTCTGTCCAATCCAAGGAGCACTCCTCACTGCCGCCCACCTGCCAGGAGCAAAAGCCGGGCTCCCGCTGGTGCCCGGTGCCCGCCTCACCCTCAGTTTGTACGTGAGGCGGTGTTATCAGTCACCAGGCATTCGGGTAACTGACAGACGGGATTCAGACTGCTGCTGCCAGTGGCCTCTCCACCTGGACACCACCCAGCCTCTCTCCTAAAGCCCGGGCACTGCCTCTCCAAACCGAGGACAAGCGCGTGGCGAAAACGCTCTAGGTCATCATGCACCTCCAGGCCCTACAGACGCACTTGGAAGTCATCCACCAGGCTGACCAAGAAGCCACTCACACTGTGGCTGTCATCCCACACCGCACCCGTTTCTCCAAGTCTCAGCAGCCCACAGCCACGCTGGGCATCAAGCCAGTTCCTCCTGGTCCAACCCCGTGGCCCCGCCGAGCAGTCCCCAAACTGTGGTCCACACACGGGTCCACACGTGCTCTGCAGTCGACACGCTGAGGGTCACACCTGGTCTGCACAACTGATCTACACATTGCAGTCCTCACACTGTGGGACACACTGCAGGCGCACACTAGGCGCACACACAGGCATACACACAGGTGGGAGCACACACGGGGGGGCACACACAGGGGAGCACGCATGTTGCACAACACAGGCACACACAGGTGGGAGCACACACAGGGGAGCACACGCAGGGGAGCACACACAGACATACACACAGGTGGGAGCACACACAGGGGGGCACACGCAGGGGAGCACACACAGGCATACACACAGGTGGGAGCACACACGGGGGGCACACGCAGGGGAGCACACACAGGCATACACACAGGTGGGAGCACACACAGGGGAGCACACACAGGGGAGCACACATGTTGCACAACACAGGCACACACACATAGCTAGGAGCACACCCAAGTGCATACATGCAGGGGAGCACACACGTTGCACACCAGATGCGCACGCTCTGTATAACAGGTGCACACACAGGCATACACACAGGTGGGAGCACACACAGGGGAGCACACACGGGGGGCACACACACAGGTGGGAGCACACACAGGTGGGAGCACACACAGGGGAGCACACACGTTGCACACCAGATGCGCACGCTCTGTATAACAGGTCCACACACAGGCATACACACAGGTGGGAGCACACACACAGGTGGGAGCACACACAGGGGAGCACACATGTTGCACACACAGGTGGGAGCACACACAGGTGGGAGCACACACAGGGGGGCACACACAGAGGTGGGAGCACACACGTTGCACACCAGATGCGCACGCTCTGTACAACAGGTGCACACACAGGCACACACACAAAGGCACACGCACACACCGTGGGGTCCGTCTCGGGGCCGGGAGCCCACGTGCCACCTGCCCAAGGGTCCCGCTGCCCTCTCCAGGGGCTGCCGGGAGGGAGGGCAGGGTGCGCCCTCCCCGCAGGGGCCCCGAGACGCTGAAGTCCCCCGCGCCCGCGCACCGCACCCCGCCTCACCGCGGAACCGCTCCACCGCCGCTTCCCGCGCCGCGCGCTCGCCGTGCGCCTCCCGCAGCCCGCCGAGCAGCGCGCGGGCCTCGGCGCTCTCGCTGAACGCCTCCAGCGCGGCGCCGTACGCCAGCGCCTCCTCCTCCACCTCGTCGTCGCGGGCGCCGGCCACCGGCTCCTTGCTCAGGTCCATCGCGGCGGCGAGGCCCGGCCGGCTGAGGAGAGCGCGCAGAAAGGCGAGCGAAGGCGGCGCCCGCGCACGCCGGCCCCACCCAGCGGCCTCCGACCCTCAGTGAGGCGGCCTCGCTACGGGGCGCCCGGAATTCCCCAAAATTGCCGGCAGCGCGCCGCGGAAGGTGTGGGCCCGTCCGGGCGAAGGGCCGAAGGCTTTCGGGCGGCCCGAAAAACGAAGAAAGTTCGCTTTTTCGGGTTCCCGGGTTCCCTTCGCCGCTTTTCGGGGCTCCGGGGCAAAAGAGGGAGCCTGCGGCCGGGGTTCTTCCGGGGCAAGGCTTCAAGTTTGGGGGGGGGAAAGACCGGCGCTTCCGTTTCCGGGCCCGGGCCAGCCGGAGGGGGCGAACCCCGGGGCGGGAGCTTGATGCTGGGGGCGGGCCCTGGGCGGGGCTCGTTTGGGGCGTGGTCTGAGGACAGACGAGCGACTGGGTGGGGCCTGAGGGCGTGGCCGGGCGGGGTCTGAGCCCTGGAGTGGGGCGGGGCCTGGGTGCCGGGGCGGGGCCATGACCGCCTCCAGTCCCAAGCGCCAGGGCCACCCCGCACTGCGGTCCGGCGCGAGCCGTGGGCGCCCGACGCCCACTGGCCCTGGGAAAAGCACCTCCCCCTGGAGACCCCAGGCCCAGGTGAGCGCTGGCGGAGCAGGAAGCACGCGATGGACCCCCACCCAGAGGTGGTTTTCATGTTTAAGGTTTATTTATTTGAAAGGCCTTTAAAGAGAGAAAGAGAGCCCCTGTCCGCTGGTTCACCCCTCCCCCCACATACCCGCAACAGCCGGGGCTGGGAGCCCTCAGCTCGATCTGGGGGCCCCCGGTGAGTGGCAGAGCTGCTGCCCCCGGGGGGGGAGAATTGGGGTCCCAGGGATGCACCTGCTGCGAGCAAGCCGTGCCCGGAGCTTCGTCCCTCGAGAGAAGGCGGCCGCGCGCGGCCAGGTGCGCGTGTCAGCCACGCAGGGTCAGTGGGCCGCGCACACGCCTGGCAGCGCGGTCGGCAGGGGACGGGTGTCCCATCTGCGCCCCTGCTCCCCTTACCCCGCCTTCTGCCGCTCTAAGGGGTGCTGCCCTGGGTTAGCGCGCGTCGGGGCCGCCCCCGGAGGCCGTTCCCGGGAGGGCTCCACCGGGCGAGCTGCGCCGCGGCGGGGTGCGGGGGTCCCGGCCCGCGGTTATGCCAGCAGCCTGCGCATGGCGCCCAGCGCGGCCGAGCGGTAACTGCGCCCGAAATGGTTCCAGTGGTTGAGGAGGTTGAAGAGCTGGTAGAGCAGCAGCCGCTGCTCGGAGCCCGGCGCCTTGGGCACCTTGCGGTGGTAGGCGGCGAAGAAGGCCCTGGGGAAGCCGCCGAACAGCAGGGCAATGGCCAGCTCGAACTCGGAGTGGCCGTAGAAGGAGGCCGGGTCGAAGACCACCGGCCCTGCGTCGTCCTCCGCCGCGTTCCCCGACCAGAGGTCACCGTGCAGCAGGGCGGGGACCACCTCCAGGCCGCAGAACAGAGCCGGGATCTTCACCTGCGAGAGGGAGGGTCGTGCCCAGTGCCTGGACGCGGCCGGAGGCAGCCCCTCTCCGCTCTGTGCGCGTCCCACTTCCCCGGCACCAGCGGCCGCAGCAGAGGACACAGCCCTCCCCACTGCCCTGTCACTGCTCCTCTCCGCCCTGCTGGCCACTTCATCCATGAGGTCAAGGAGCCAGTTCACCCTAGGCTACAGCAGGACTTCAGAGTCAGGCTTTGAGACCTGGCCCTGGGGGAGTTGGGGGCCTGTGGGGAGCAGCCCGGACTAGACTGTTACTGGAATTAAGACTTATTCTATGCATCTGCTCTCCCACAATATGGCGCTGGGAGAGAAGTAAACAGCTTCCGCACAGCTGCCTCCAGTTCAATCAATTAACTGTAGGACTTGCTCCTGATTGGAGAGCAGCGTACTTGGCGTGTGGGCAGCCGAGTTAGGATTGGCGGAAGAGGACTATAAAGGAGGAGAGAGACGGCACGCACCAGGAACATCTATGGGGAACATCTAAGGGAACCCGTGCAGCCCCCGAGAAAGCCGGCCGGCGGTGTGCCGCTCCCCTGCGGAAGTGGGGAATGCGGCCAGGGGGAACTGCCCTTCCACGGAGGTGGAAGGGATAGTAGCCAACCCGGGAAGAACCAGCAGCAAACCCGGGGAGGGCCGAGCAGACGAAAGAACAGCGCAGGGTCCTGTGTCGTTCCTCCACGAAGAGGGGGAGCGACAGGGGCCCATCCTGGGGTGAGACATTCCCACTAAGACAGAGGGGAACGGAGGCTAAGAGTGGGCAGCTGTCAGTAACCAGGAGACGGGGACGGCCACGCCCCTGGGCTCCACAGGCAGGAGGTCAGGTTAAATACCCCAGGGGGCCATGTTGGTCCTCGGATCCCACCCCTGTCCCGTTCCTGTCAGGCTCATAGTGGCCCCTGATGTGTGCGCCACTTCCCCAGCTCTGCACAGAGTCCCTCAGCTCTCCCGGGGTGAGAGAACAGCCTCTCTCCCAGAGAAGTGGCCGCAGGGCCCACCTGTAACCTCGACCACAGCTCTCGTGCCTCTCGGTCAGCATAGTCTTTTTCGATGAGGTCCAGCTGCGCCTGGAGCCGGTGCCGGGTGAAAAAGGTTGGCCAGTCGTCATGCCACTCATTCACCTGGGCAACGGAAGCAAGGACAGAGCTACTCGCTGTAGCCACAGGACAGTGCATGCAATCCGCCCAGGCCCTGGGACAAGGGCCGGCCAGCAAGCAGGCTGAGGCAGGGTCGCCACATACTCAGCTCTTCCAAAGGAAGGAGTTAAAGGGGAAAATGGAGACAGAACTGGCAACACACATAAACAACAGATACACTCAAATCTAACTATCAACAAACACATAAAAATGTCAAAAAATACTCTCGCTAAAGGGATTGACAGAACAATAAAGCTGGACTCAACCACAAGTGGCGTGCAGGAATGCACTTTATATATAAACAGACGGAGGTTACAAGGATAGAAAAGAGACCCTGTTAACTAGTGTAAAGGAAGCTGGAGTGGCAACCTTCATACCTGCAAAGTCGATTTCAGAGTAAACAGTCTCATCAAGCATAAAGTCATTTCACAATGAACGGGGGTCACATATGCTGCACAACACATGATAGCCCTACACATGCATGCCTTTGATACAGTGCAAAACACACGAAAGTAAAGCTGATGAAACTGAGAGGGGCGGGCATGGTGGTTAAGCCACCGCTTGGAAGCCCACGTCCCATATCAGGTCCCAGCTCCTCCACTTCCAATCCAGCTTCCTGCTAACGCACCTGGGAAAGCAGCAGAAAATGGTCCAAGTACCTGGGTCCCTGCCACCCTGCAGGAGATCTGGATAGAGTGTCTGGCTCCTGGTCTGGCCAGCCCAGGTCATTGTGGGCATCTGGGGAATGAACTGGCAGATGGGAGATCTCCCTATTCTCTCCCTCTGTCACTCTTTCAAACAAATAAGAAAATATTTTTAAAAATTGCAGAGAAAGCAGCTGGCGCTGTGGTGCAGCAGGTTAAAGCCCCGGCATGCAGTGCCAGCGTCCCACATGGGCACCAGTTTGAGTCCCGGCTGCTCCACTTCTGATCCAACTCCCTGCTACTGCCCCTGGGAAAGAATCAGAAGATGGTTCAAGTCCCTAGGCCCCTGCACCCACGTGGAAGACCCAGAAGAAGCTCCTGGCTCCTGGCTTTGGATTGGCTCAGCTCTGGCCATTGCATTATTTGGGAGGTGAACCAGTGGGTAGAAGACTGACTCTCTCTCTCACTTGGACTTCTGAGGTGATTTGGATCACCTTTGCCCCAGTAATGTGAAAGAAAGTGGAGGTCGAATAGGGAACAGTAATTTTGCTATGCAGACAGTATATTCAGTTTATTAGTAAAGCCACTTTTTTAATCTCTTAGGTAGTTTGGGAGTCAGATATCACAAGGAGTTTATTTCAATTTTAGGAAGCTTGATTTTTGCCTATGCCCACAGGTGTCCTGCAGCACTTAAACTAGTGTTGATATGAGACCAGAAATGTTCAGGATTCTGTTCCAGGACATGAAGGACCTGGTTCTAAAACCCATGGGATTCAATTTCTCTCTCTCACTCGCTCCCTCTCTCTCTCTCTCTCTCTCTCTCTCTCTCACACACACACACACACACACACACAAATAAGTAAAATAAATCTTTTTAAAAATTGCAGGGAGAAACAGCTAAACCTGGGGCAGGTGTTTGGCACAGCACTCAAGCTGCTGCTTTGGACACCCACATCCAATATTGGAGTGCCTGGGTTCGAGTCCCAGCTCTCTCCCAGGTCCATCTTCTTTCACCATGGACCCTGGGAGGAAACAGGTGATGGTCCCTGACACCCGCATGAGAGACCTGGGTTGAGCTCCTGACTCCTGACTTTGAATTGGCCCAGCCATGGCTACTGTGGGCATTTGTGGAATGGGCCAGAATGTGGAAATTCACTCTCTCCCCAACTGCCTCTCCCTCTCTCTTCCTTACAAATAAATAAAAACTAAGAAGTAGGCCAGCGTCGCAGCTCAACAGGCTAATCCTCCACCTTGTGGCGCCGGCACACCGGGTTCTAGTCCCGGTCGGGGCGCCGGATTCTGTCCCGGTTGCCCCTCTTCCAGGCCAGCTCTCTGCTGTGGCCCGGGAGTGCAGTGGAGGATGGCCCAAGTGCTTGGGCCCTGCACCCCATGGGAGACCAGGATAAGCACCTGGCTCCTGCCATCGGATCAGCGCGGTGCGCCGGCCGCAGTGCACTGGCCACGGCGGCCATTGGAGGGTGAACCAACGGCAAAGGAAGACCTTTCTCTCTGTCTCTCTCTCTCACTGTCCACTCTGCCTGTCAAAAAAAAATTAAGAAGTATAAGTTAGAAGAAATGGTTAAATCCACAAACACATTCTGTTATTGACTGGGATGTGGTGCCCACCCTCAAAGGCCTAGGCTGAAACCCAAACCCCAAGGTGACTATTTGGAGACAGGGCTTTGGGAGGTAATTAAAATTAAATGCAGCCATAAGGGTGAGGCTCTAGTCCCACAGAAACAGTGGCTTCATAAGAAGAGGAATAAAGG